CCTCGGAAACCCAAGGAGGGGTCGCTATGAGTAGGGGCCGACTCCCCAGCACATAACAGCAACAGCAAGTGAATAGTGGAGTGGTTGCAGTAAAGACAAACACCTCTTTCTCCTCTAACGACAACACAAACAACCAGGTAGGTGTTTACTAAGTGCGCCTTGGTTTTCCTGCAGGCAGTTAGGATTTACGTCATCCTATTGTGGCGTAGCGCCTGCATCCCGTGCTTGCCCAGTATGAGGTCACAGGCCCTCTCCACTATAAAAGGGTGGTGCCGCTGCAGCGTATACCAGTTGCACCAGTCCGGGACATCTATCACCCTGGCCCACGGCTTCCCAAGGCCGGGTGGCTAGCCGCACCGCCCCCCTCCCTGCTTTCCAGCTGCCAGCTCAGACTCCAGTTCCTGAGAAGAGCTAAGAAGCTGGAGAAGTATCATGGGTATCTTTTTGTTCCTACTGAGCAGCATTTTTTTCGCCATACTATTTGTCTTCTGGAGAAAACGATGTCAGGTAAAGACGTGTGGAAGATGGATACACATTGGAAGCTGAATGAATGCGTGGATCCGTTGTGTGTAAGAGTAGCAAGTTAGTCAAATAGTAAGAGTCAAGGAGAGGTCCCCTCCTTCTTCTCCAGAAACAGCCTCAGACTAATTAGTACTCTTTACCCACAGAGTTCCTTCATATTCACCAGGAATTTGACAATTGTGGTCTGTTGTAAAAAGCCCCAAGTCATTAAATGATGTGGTTAGCTATTCACCCACCTGAAGAGAGCAGAAGTGCCTGCACCCCACCACCACCACCACCACCACCACCCCCCACTTCCTATTTTAAGAATGTGGGCCTTCTCTGACTCTTGCTGTTTGGCTGTCTCTCGTCTCCCCCCTCTTTTCTCTTTGCCTCCCCCCTTGTTTTATTTTCTTTTCAATCATTTCTATGAGAGATATCTGGGCATTAACAGATATTTCAGGTCAAAATGTGGGTTTTCTGGTGCTAGTTAAAGTTTCAAGTGAAGTACTGTTATACAGGTTTCAAAGACAAGGCCTAAATATAGGCCTACCGGAGTGCCCAAGAAATGCAAGCAAATGCTATGAGGCTTTAATGCCAAAAGGTGCCTTTCATGTATTTTTTTTTTTCATAGTCTGTATTTGGGAAGAGCTTATTTCAAAGTCAATGTAGTCATCCAACAAATTTTTTAATGCCTTCACTAACCATGTTATCATTTGCTAGTGTTTGGAAATTGCTAAATTCAAATGATTGATATATATATATATATTTCCTTCTCTTACAGAGAAAAACTGGTGAAATGTCATCAAATTCAACTTGTCTTGTGCTAACAAAACCATCCTCTTCTGAGTCAAGTATGAGCCATACTGATAAGAATCTTTCCATCAACAACCTCTCTCAGGATATCCTAAATAATTTCCCACACTCTGTAGCCATGCAGAAGCGAATACTGGTGAACCTCAGGATTGTGGAATACAAGCTGGCTGAACTGGAACATTTCTTAGTTATCAGGGGTTTAAATGGTGCAGTAGTTAACCAGCCATCCACTGAAAAGCTCACATAATGTAATGACAGTGGAGGCAGTCATTAAAGTCACTTTGAGTGTATTCACTTGATTATGTGTGTTTGTATCCAATGAATTATTGTCTCAAGGGGAAGGAGATGCCAAGTCAAATACAAAATCCAGGCATTTCTTGATTTCCTCCCTCACATTTAATTTAAAGAATTGATTACATATTGTTAATAAATATTTTAATGGGGAATGACTGGAAGTACAATAGAGTAACAGTTCAGTTTTAAAAAAGAAAAAGCTAGAGTAAAAAGAATCAAAGTGGCTTTAGTTTCACTCAAGTATGAAAAACACTTTTCTCAAATGTCTCCAAGCTTGCATCGAAGTGGGATTGGATGGAACTGTCTTCCATCAAGAAGAACACTGTTTGTTACCACCGCTGCATCTGTGGAATGGTAAGAGCTCTCACTAAGCACCCTACAGTGTGCATTACACACTTTTAAGGATAGTCACAGAAACCCTTAACTGCTCCTTGTGATCAGGTTCTGAAGAGGATTTCTCCCCCATCAACTCCGTGTCACCCCTCGCCCCCACGCCCCCACTACACACACAATTAGAACTTCGTCCATTAAAAATGTACCTAAATCTTCTATGGCCCTAGAGGATGGCCTCGGGCCTAAGGCAGTCGCCTGCCAAGTGCAGGGCTGGTGGTTCAAACCTACCAGCCATTCCCCGACACGTAGACCGGGCTGTCTTTCTCCACTCGGCCCTCCTTGGAAACTCAAAGAGGGCTCACAGGATCCCATCCAATCGGTTGAGAGGTCTGATTTTTTAGAAGCTCTGGTAGCATAGTGCCTTAAGGAACTTAGCTGCTAACCAGAAGGCTGGCGGTTCAAACCCACCAGCCACTGCTCGGAAGGCGGGTTGGGCAATCTACTTCTGTAGCGATACTGCCTCAGAAACCCAAGGAGGGATCGCAATGAGTCGGGGCCGACTCGACGGCAAACAACAACAACAACAACAACATAGAAAACTGTACATGTTTTTCTATTAGGTGAAAAAATCCACAACCCAAATAATACCAAAATGCAGTGGTAGAATGCATTTTATGCACTGAGTACTAAAATGATCTTAAGAAAAATGACTTCTAAACTCTAGTCAGTCAACTATATCATCATATTTTATAAAATCCAGTATAAGTAATTAAAACTCTCTCGGTGTTTGCTAACAGCATTTAGCCTACCCTCAAATACAAGTTAACTTCTTCATGACATCTAGCATCAACAGCACATATATATATATACATATATATATATATACATAA